CTCCCTATCCCACCCTTCTAGGTGGTCACAAAGCACCAAGCTGATCTCCCTGTGCTATGCAGCAGCTTCCCACTAGCTATCTATTTTACATTTGGTAGTGTATATATGTCCATGCCACTCTCTCACTTCATCCCAGCTTACCTTTCCCCCTCCCTGTGTCCTCAAGTCCATTTTCTACGTCTGCGTCTTTATTCCTGTCCTGCCCCTAGGTTCTTCATATCCATTTTTTTTTTAGATTCTCTATATATGTGTTAACATACGGTATTTGTTTTTCTCTTTCTGACTTACTTCACTCTGTATGACAGACTCCAGGTCCTTCCAACTCACTACAAATAACTCAATTTCATTTTTGTTTTATGGCTGAGTAATATTCCATTGTATGTATATGCCACATCTTCTTTACCCATTCATCTGTCAATGGACACTTAGGTTGCTTCCATGTCCTGGCTATTGTAAATAGAGCGGCAATGACCATTGTGGTACATGACTTTTTGAATTATGGTTTTCTCAGGGTATATGCCCGGTAGTGGGATTGCTGGGTCATATGGTAGTGCTATTTTTAGTTTTTTAAGGAACCTCCATACTGTTCTCCATAGTGGCTGTATCAATTTACATTCCCACCAACAGTACGAGAGGGTTCCCTTTTCTCTACACCCTCTCCAGCATTTATTGTTTGTAGATTTTTTGATTATGGCCATTCTGACTGGTATGAAGTGATACCTCACTGTAGTTTTGATCTGAATTTCTCTAATGATTAGTGATGTTGAGCAGTCTTTCATGTGTGAAACCCTCGATTTTAACTCAGAATTTTATCACTCTCTCTTGGGTAGAAAGCTAAGAGAAGAGGAGTAAAGGTATATATGCCCTGTACCTGTGCAATAACCTGCTCAGAGCCAATTTTGATTCAGCTAACAATAAAGAACCATCACAGTTTTCGTAGAACCATCAACAAAATAAAAGCAAGATATTTGAACCTTAGCTCTAATAGGTTTATGCAGGATAAAATGAGGAACACAAAACCATAGGCTGGGGAATAACTAGAATGCTGTTACAGTCTACTAGGGAGGTGGTAAGGACTCAGCTATGAAGTGGCTATAGATGAATGAAATAGTAAAGGGGTGTACAGTATCAGCAAGACTTGATAGATGAGATAATAGTAAATAAATTAGGGTAAAAGTCAAATATAGCATCAATTTTTCTGTCATGGTAGCTAGAAAAGCTATGATCCAACTATGAAAAATAGAATTTTAAAAAAATTATCATTTTGAGAGTTAGAGATTTTTTTTGGATTTCTTAAGCCTGAGGTAATAATCAATCTGTGATTTTAATTAGGGGAGTATAGCTTAATTCCTCTTTAATTACCTCACACTAAAGATTTTTTCTCATCTGAATCTTTTTAAGTTACTGCTTGTACTACTCCTTTAGTATTAATTATTAATTAACTTGTATTCTCAATGACCAATTCATGTGAATGTCTTACTTCCCAAAGCAGATTTTGCTCTCCCAAAGAATAAAACCAATGTTTTACACTTGTATCCCCCACATCTCATACTCTGGCACTGTAACTCCATACTGACTAAGTAATACTATTTTATAGCACATGGTTCAGATATTCTTTGAAAAATATAAGGGATATATAAAAAATTATGTTCAATATTCTGAGATGAAAGGTCAGGATGCCATCAAACAATATAAAGGAACTAGAAAGAACTCTTGTAAATTTAATATACAATAGTGTCAATAAACAATGCATTTAAAATAATTGAAAGACAAATTTGAGGAAATCTCTTAGAAAGAAAAGATAAATAAAATTATAGAAAAGATAAGATTAATAAAAGAAATGAAAAAAGAGATTTCCCAGAACCGAAGGACATGTTTCTACACTGAATGTGATCACCAAATACCCAGCCCAATGAATAAAGCAAGACCCACCCAAAGGTATATCAAATACTGAAATGTCAGAACACCAAGAAGAAAGAGAAGATCAAATAAATGTCAAAGAAATAGGTTATATACAAAGGATCCAGAGTCCAATAGTATCAGACTACTCTACAATCACCTAGAAGCTAGAAGACAGTTGATCAATGACTAAAATGAAGAAAAAGTATCTTCAATGTTGAGTTGTATATCCAGCCAAACTATAAAATGTAAATGTAGAATAAAGGTCTAGCTATTTTCAAACAAACATGACCTACAAAAATGGGCTTCCTAAGCACTCTTTCTCAGGAAGCTGAGAATATGTTCCACCAAATCAAGGAAACAGGGAGACAGGAGATCCAAGACAGAAAGTAATCAACATGTAAGAGAGGAAGAAGGAATTCCTAAAACAACAGTAAAGAGAAATCCCAGGATGACAGCTGTGCAGCAGGCCTATAAAACAAGTCCAGATCAGAGCAAGAGGAGTGTTTCAGGAGAGATGTGCCCAAGATTAAAATGGGTGCGAGAAGTAACTTGATATGGTTGACCGTACTGGTAAGTCTGCCTGAGTTAGTGGTAGGTGAAGAGTAAAGCAAACAAACAAAATAATGAGGCAATTGTTAATTCCAGGGAAAACAAAACTTTAACAAAAAAAGTAATCACAGTCACAGTAAAATACCTGATTTAGTGGTGAATAACATATATATAACTCTAGTGCTTTAAATTTTGAGTACTTTGATCAAAAATTTGAAATAATTGGGAGGTTGGAGCAAGAGAAGGAAGAATGGTGTGAGAGAAAAGAACCAAATCCCCATCTTTCATGGGAATAAATCAATAAACAATATCTACAATTTTTAAACGAAGAAATCAGAGTGGAATCATGTTACTCAGAAATATGGAGATAAGGAGCTAAAAATATCTAGGAGTTGAAAGGGACTGCTTCATTGTGGAGGCATAGAGCAGAGAACTGCTTTGTTTGTACATAAACTATTTGACTTTTAACACTATTACATCTGTAACTCTGACAAATAATTTAAGAATTTTGGATAGTAACCAGCTTATTTTAAAATGGTATATTTTATCTCACAATTAACTAAAGATGCAAATAAACAAAAAAGAATGAAACATTTTCCAGTTTATTATCTTCTGACATTTGTCCCTAAATGCCACTCCCCACCTCCCTTAGAAAAATACTATGTTCATTTTCACAAACTTAAATACATATATTTGGTCACCTTGACTTACATAATTGCTGACAACATATGAAAAGAAAAACTGGTTCTGTTTCTTTGTTATAAATAAGTTATTAAATTATGCATGTGAACATTTGAAACATATACTAATAAAAACTACCAGAGCAAGAAGGCTTATCTAAGTAGCATCTTTGAAAAATGGTGAAAGGTCATTATTTGAGATGCTTGTTTCATGATTTTTAGCTCTTCTGTGGTTTCTGGCCTATAAATGATTCATTCATTCAATTTTTTTTCATGTAATACACCTTTACAAATTTCTTTTTTATAGTCAAGGCACCTTGCTAAGTTCTGAATTTCCTGAAATCTGTAATATTCTTACTTGTACTTAATGATCTTAAATACTGTAAAGTGCTGAATCTAGCAACATATATCTAAATCTGTTAACATTTGCAATTATTTTTAAGGGAAAAATTCTCATTTGAACAATAGTATTTATTGCTTACAGATTGACATGGAGACCTAAACTCAATATTTTGAAGAAGCTTTCTATTATCTCTTCTAATTTTCCTCCTTGCCAAGAGTTGGCTAAATATCATAACATTGTGTCACTGTAAAAAGGTGGAAGGAAAGGCATTCCACCTTTTTACAGTGTTGCACCTTTTTCCTACATTGTCAGGAAATTGTACTGCCCAAGCAAATATTTAAAATGTAGCAATAAGAAAAAACCTCTAGACAGTAAACCGCAAGAAGATATGAGCCCTTCCTCTTATTCACCATGGCATCCCGAGTGCCAAACATAGTATCCAGCAATATAATGGGTATTGAAATATGTTAAATGAGTGAATGCAACACTGCTTACTAATTTCGTCTATCTTCCCTAATCAAAAGAGATACAAAAAGACCACATTCTATTAGGTATCAGGAATTTATATATCTGACTAAGAAAGAAGACCCATCTTGTCAAGTTTTGGATTCCCAGAACCTAGAAAATATGGAAAGACAAAAAAAAAGAAAAAAAAGTCCTTGTCGGGAACAGATCGCAGTGGGTTAGACTAGCACCCAAATCCCCTTTTGTCACCAACAAAACTTCCAGCCTACTCTGTCTGCATCTCTTAAAACTGAATGGCCTTAAGAGGAGTAGATTCTCAATAGAAAAGTCACTTTTTCAGGAACAGGCACTTCCCACTCCATGCAAAATGAGGCCAAGTCAACAAAACAGCAAAGACTTGGCTAATGCAAGCACAAGCTAATTTATTATGATTGGCCCAAATTACCCACTTTTTTTTGCCGCGCAGGCCAATATCCACAACCGCACTGATGCCTCATGTAGGGCGAACGTTTTCACCAGTAGCTGGTGAGGAGCACGGTGTTTCTCAGCCAAAACCGAGGGAGACTGGAAATTGTGCAGTGCAGTAATCCAAACACCTCGAGTGGATCTCAGTCTTTAAAATCTATATCTCGTAAGAAATTCCTTCCATTTTCCATATTACAAGCTGGGGAAACAAATCTCCGGAGCTCTTCAGGGATGAGCTCTTTTCCAAATACTACAACCATTGCCACCTCCCCATCCCTCAGTCCAAGGGTGAACCACACAGGACCCAGTTCTGAACGGTCACATCTAGCTGACCGCCTCCCAGCTGGCCTTTAAAGCAGCCGCGCGCGGTCGAGCTGCTACGAAGTCCAACTTCCGGCCACAAAACGAGAGGATGTTTTCCTCCTGGCCACACCCTCCTAGCCTCGCCCTCCACGCCCCGCGCAAGAGCGCGCGGGCGCGCGGGAGGGGCGGGGCCGCGTAGGCGGCCGCTGCGAGTTTCGCCCTCCCTCAGCTGCGCGCAGGAATGCCCCGGGCCCACGGACAGCGCGGCGGCGCGCGCGCGCGCTCCCGGTGCCCTCCTCCGTGACGTGCCTGGCCCAGGCCGCGCAAGGGCGCTGTAGCTGCCAGTGCCGCTGTCATGGCGTCTGAGGCGCTGTCTGAGGAGAACCCGCCGCGGTCTCTTTAGAGCGAGGGGCGGGCGCCTGGGTATGGAGAGCGGCCCTGAGAGCCTGCAGCCGCTAGAACACGGAGTGGCCGCCGGGCCGGCGCCAGGGACAGGTTCTCCGCAGGAAGGGCGACAGGAGACCAGGCTCGCCGCTGGGGATGGTCCTGGAGTATGGGCGGCGGAGAGCAGCGGCGGGAAGGGGCAGGGGGCGGCAGCCGCCGGGAGGAGCCTCTCGGACTCGGCTTCTCCCGCCGGCTCGCCTCGGGTTCTCGTACCCTGCAGCTCCCTCCCGGACTTGGACTTGAAGGGGAGCGATTTGGAGAGTCCTGCTGCCCAGAAGGCGCCTCTGACAGGGCAGCACAAGGTGACCGCCTCCCCGGAGGCAGCTGAGGCCGGAGCCGACCATGAGTTGGTTCCGGCCGGAGAAGCGGGCGCCCTCGCGGATCCCGCCGGCACCTGCCGGGCAGAGTCGGCGGCCGCGGGCTCCGAGGAGCCCAGCAACGGCGGCGGCCTCAGCAGCAGTTGCAGCGACCCGAGCCCTCCCGGGGAATCGCCGAGCCTGGACTCCCTGGAGTCGTTCTCTAACCTGCATTCTTTCCCAAGTAGCTCCGAGTTCAATAGTGAGGAAGGAGCTGAGAACAGGGCCCCCGAGGAGGAGGAGGAGGGAGCGGCGGTGTTGCCCCGGGCTGTGCCTCTGTGCCGAGAGGAGGAGCAGGAGGAGGGGGAGGCAGCCCAGGTGCTGGCGGCCTCCAAGGAACGCTTCCCGGGACAATCTGTTTATCATATCAAGTGGATCCAGTGGAAGGAAGAGAACACACCCATCATCACGCAGAATGAGAATGGCCCCTGCCCTTTACTGGCCATCCTCAATGTTTTGCTTCTGGCCTGGAAGGTACACTCCGCAGCTTTCTATTTCCTACAGCTTTCGGGGAGGGGGAACACGGGGCGAGGGAGCTGCTGCCTGTCAGCTGATGGCTTCTTCCTTTTTTTCCTCATTCATCAATCCGTCCCTTTTTCTTCTTACATGAAACTCGTTCTGAGACTCTCTTGTTGGAAGAGTGTTCTCATATGTATGTCAGAAAGAATTGCCGGCAACCTCAGGTCTCTCTTGCAGTGTTTAGTGATGAACGTTCAGCATTCAGCTATGGCTGATATACTTGGAAACAGCCGGGACTAGGAGCATCCTAAACCCTTTGATTTATTTTTTTAACCTATATTTTTCTGTGTTATTCCTTCTTACTGACTTTATCACATATGCAAAAGAGTGAAGAAATGGGGAAGGTCATCTTCAGAAGTTACCATCAATCCGTGATATCAGGGAGCAAGTTTGATGGTTACGTTTAGTCTATTTTCCAACTCCTGCTTGCTCCATTTGGGTGTGGATACTTAAGGACATGGTGCTGGGGAAGATGTGGCCCCTTAGACAAATTCCATTTAAGGAAAAGCAGTGGCCTGAGACCTAATTACCATAACTTCTTGCTTTTCAAAGATTGTTTTTATTTTATGCATGATATTTACTTGCCTCATTTCTTTGACTCTACTTAAAGAGTCTGGCATTATTACCAGTAACCACACATCAGAATGTGTTAAGGGAGCTAAAATTAACAACTAAAATAAGAAAAGATATATTCAAGTTAAAGGAGCAAAAGAGGGAAGGGCCCTTCAAAAGGAAGTATATTGAGGACTCAATATATTGAGGACCTGTAAATGAAGTGTCTTATTTAAGCTTGCAGTTTTAGAGTGCTGAGAAGATGCATCTTAGAGTACATATTTTACTTTTAAATTGAGAATTGTATCTATAGATAAAATGTTCCCTAGAAAAAAATAATCTGGATTATTGTGACTAGTTAGGAAGAAAATCAAGTAAAGGAAATAGTGTTTATTAAGTCCCTTCATCTTCCTTTCTAGCAAGGGCTAATGCAAAAGAAATAAGATTATATCTTACCAGTATCTAGTACATAATGGCACTCAAATGTGTTCAGTGAAAACTGCCTGCTCTTGAAGAGCTGTTGAGCTATTTGGAGTTGCAGCATCGACTTACTTGAAATTACTAAAGAACAATGCAAGACAATACACTATAAATGCTAGGTTATAGGAAGCAGATTGAAATGCATTAGACATCCCAAAAGGGGAAGTTTTCCTTTGGTCTGGCATAGTCCCAGAGAGCTTCATGGAATTTTTAGATCTTGAAGGAAGCTTTTAAGGAAAAGTAGGATTTAAAATAACAGGAAAATGGAATTCCTGGGAGAGGGAAGTGTATAAATAAAAGGGATGAAAATAAAATGGATAATGTGTGTGTGTGTGTGTGTGTGTGTGTGTGTATGTTTTGGATGACAGGAGTGGTAAGTTCATATTGCAGGATAATAGAAAATAAGATTGAAAAGGTGAAGAGCCCCTTGATGAAATCCCTTGAATGTCAGATTAGGGAGTTAAATTTCATCCTATGAGCCAAAGTCCCCAGTCTTTCTGTCAGAAGGAGTAACAGTTTCCTTTAGGCTTTTCTCACTTCCTAGTTTCTACATAGTACTGCAGAAGTTCAGAGGAAAGAGCAAGTACCATGGTCTCAAATATTTGGGGATAGATGAGCATTGAGTTGGACTTTGAAAGACAGCATACATTTGCGTTCCCACTATATGTGAGGTACTAGAAATACAAAGATGAGTAAGATGCACGTGTGCCCTCATGTAGCTCATTAGTAATGGGGAGACAGACATATAAACAATAACCGCATTGCAATGTAGAAGTTCTAAATATGCTATGGAATTACAGAGAAAAGTGTAATTGGGAATGGAACATGTCAAGGGAAAGCTTCACAGAAGAGGTAACCTGTGTACTGGGTCTGATGGATGAGTAAGAGAAGTTCCTTCGAGGCAGAGGGAATAGTGTGTTCAAAGATGCAGAAGCAGAAAAAGGTTTGTTCTATTTGGAGACTCCAACCTTGCTTGGAGTGCAGTGGAGGAGGAGAAGGAAATGGCAGTAGCAGGAAATAAAATTGATAGGTGGGTTAGACTCTGAATGAGCAGGCATGCTAAGGTACTTCGAGATTGTTTTATAAATCTTTGGTTCTTAGCCTTTTTTCTGCCTCAAGGCTATTGATGCACACAAAAATTACTCATCAGTAATCATCAGTGATTGATGGGGAGATCGATTAAGAGTAGCAAGGTTGGATAGAGCAGTGTTCTCAAAGTGATCCAGGGCTTCTGAGGTCAGTACTGTTCATAATAGTACTCAGTTGTTTTTTGCCTTTTTCGCTCTCGTTCTCTCAGTGTCAGTAGAGTTTTTCAGGCTGTATGATGTGTGATGACATAATTGCTCTGACAGTTAACAGAATCTGTGCTCGTGCATTCTTGTGTTTAAAATTTTTCTCAATTTTTATTTCTAGTATGGTAAATCTTGATAGATATAATCCACTTAAACAAGAGCTCTTTGTGATCCTATATAATTTTTAGGACTGAAGAGGGTCTTGAGACCAAAAAGTTTGAGAAATGCCGTAGTAGAGAAAAATAGTAAATAGGGTATGAAGGTAGTTGTCAGATTTCAGAGGACCCATCATTAGACATGTTTAGACTTTATATACAGCTGATAATAGGAAGCTACTATAAATTACTGGATAGAGGAATGACATAAAGAAAGGGGTCTTTTCATTTGAGATTAGACTGGAGGTGAAATTGTAGTGAGTGTAGCAGGAAGAATTGATGAGGATAGCTCTTTTGGATGGGAAATTCTCTGCCCCTTCTCTCTGATGAGGATAATGTCACAGCCTAAATGATGAATTGATTGCTATCTGGATATAGGAAATGAAGGATGTGACACTTTTTCTAATTGGATAATAAGGATTGGTTGGATCATTCAAAAGGTAGAGAATGTGTTTTAGATGGGAAAGTTGATGTCAGAGTTTGGCTGTGTCAGGTTGGAATTGTCTGTTAGTGGGACATAAAAATATAAATGTTCATTATGCCTCCAGAAACATAGAATGGGCCTCAGGAAAGATGTAAAAATTATGAGAAAAATTGAACTGGAGAATTATTGCATAGATATAAGTATGGTATCAGTGAGAATACATGAATTCTCCAAAGACAGTGGTGAATAGTTCTCAACTATTTGTCATCCCAGTATATGTGAGGAACTGTAAATTGCCATTATAAACATCCTCCCTCTATTTTCTCGCTCCCTCTTCCATCCAGTTCTCCAGTAGACATAGAGAAAACAGAGGAATAAAGAGGAAAACAGAGGAATAAAGTTGCTGGGGAGAAGGGAATGCTAAGCAGTAAAGATGAGAGAGTATAAAAGAAATCAGTATAGGCACAGTTTGAGATGTAAATGAGAACTAGAGATAGGACAAAGTCATGATAGTAATGTGGGAGAGAGACTCTAATTTAAAAAAAAAAAAAAGGGTCAGTTATCATTGTCAAATGCAGCAGCATCAAGGAACTGGTGGAGTAGGAAAGATTTTGCCAAAAAGGACAGATATGAGAACAAGGTCGCTAAAAAGTCAGGATAACATGGAATCCTCAGAATAGGTGGTAAAATTCTCTTCAGAGGAAAACAACAACAATCTTTTTTTCTGAAGTAATGGAAGGAAGATACAAAGACAAGGTCATGTTAAGATAGAGAGACATGAAAATTGAGGCCTCATTCTCCATTTTGGCAGAATAATAGATGATCTCATCAGTAATAGCTATTGAACTTGCCAGTAATTAAGGAGAGAAGTTGTAAAGCATCGAAGGGTGAATTTTGTGAGAAAATTATGTTGTGTTTTAAAGAAGTTCTCATCTCATTGAAGATTATGCCTAGGAATTTGAGGCATAAGCAGAAAGTAGTCAGTGGCCATGGATAAATTGGGGTATTCTTTTAAAACTTCTAGTATGTAAATTTTGCTCCCCACCCCCCAAAATAGTTCTCTCATCCCTGGAAATAGGAGCAGGAAGAATGGCTGGTTAGGATTATTATGTATTGGGCTTTTCAAGGGTTGATTCATGGAGAGTCAATGGAATTAAGAATTGAAAGTAAAACAGTTGATCATCTTTTTTGGGGGAGAATGAAGTAATGAGAAAAATCAGTAAGGAATTTCCTAGCAGTCCAGTGGTTAAGGCTCTGCGCTTCCACTGCAGGGGGCATGGGTTCGGTCCCTGGTTGAGGAACTAAAAAAACAAAAAAATCAATAAACTGAATACATTAGGAAGATTTGAGTGATTCAAAGGAAGTAAGTGCCATGATGATTCTGGGTGAGAGATGACAGTTAAAATGATCAAACATGGTAAGTACTGAGTTGGAAATGTTGGAGTTTTAATGAAAAGTGTTGGTTTAATGAAAAGTGTTGGAAAGTAGGTGATCATCACTCATCTGTAAAATAGTTGAGCTGTGATAATCCAACAAATCAAGAAGGAAGGAAATCTGTTCATTAAATTTAATTCAAGCTCAAATTTCTAATTCTCTTTAGCTGACACCAGGTAAATTGACCCAAATTGAAGTCTTAGAATACATTTTCATTTTGCTTCTTTATTTTAGACTTTTTTTGGTGTTTTTTTAATAGTTTTTCTTTAATCTTTCATAAAACAATGCCATTTTTTATTTGAGGGCTGTGGCCCAATTAATCAGTTGTGTTTATAAAAATCAAGTCAGAAGATATATAAAATATAAAATTTACTTTCTGATGTTATTGGCCTATGTTATAAATACTGAAGCAGAGTGATGGGTACTTGGAAGTTCATTATGCTGTTACTTTTTGGCTTTTCCATATGATTCAAATTTTGCATTATGAAACATTTTTAAAAGCTTCTGCCTTAATATTTTTATGTTTATGAAGGTATTACTTTAATAATAGAGGGAGTCCCTGCTTTGTCACACTTTTGTTTTCTTATAGAAAGAATATAGGTTCTAAGGCCCACATAC